TTATAGGATGGGAATCTCATGGACCAAGGATCATCAAAGCCTCGTTCAAAACAAAGAAAGAGGGCATTTCAATGAACATCATCCAATGCTATGCGCCTACCAACGACTACAATGAAGACGCTAAAGATCAATTCTACAATAGGCTGCAGTCAATCGTCGAGAAGTGCCCAACAAAGGACCTGACCATTCTGATGGGAGATTTCAACGCCAAGGTTGGAACGGACAACACTGGATATGAAGACATCATGGGACGACACGGACTGGGAGAAAGAAACGAAAATGGTGAGAGATTTGCAAATCTATGTGCCTTCAATAAGCTGGTCATAGGCGGCACCATATTCCCACATAAACGCATACACAAAACCACATGGACTTCACCGGATCATACTACACAAAACCAAATCGACCATATTTGCATCAACAAAACGTTCAGGAGGACTATAGAGGACGTGAGAACCAAGAGAGGAGCTGATATAGCATCAGATCATCACTTGCTGGTCGCCAAGATGAAATTGAAACTCAAGAAGCACTGGACAACGGGGCGGACAATATCACAAAAGTTCAATACGGCCTTTCTCCAGGATACTAACAAACTCAACAAATTCAAGATAGTCCTCAGCAACAAGTTCCAGGCCTTTCATGATCTACTCAATGGAGAAGGAACTACTGTGGAGAGCAACTGGAAGGGGATCAAAGAGGCAATCACTTCAACATGTCATGAGGTCCTGGGTCACAAGAAGCACCACCACAAGGAATGGATCACTGTTGATACACTGGATAAGATTCAAGAAAGGAGAAACAAGAAGGCAGCAATCAATACCAGCCGAACAAGAGCAGAAAAAGCCAAGGCACAAGCTGAATACACAGAAGTAAACAAACAAGTGAAGAGGAGCATCAGAACCGACAAACGTAAATATGTGGAAGATTTAGCAACGACGGCGGAAAAGGCTGCAAGAGAAGGAAACATGAGACAACTGTATGACACGACAAAGAAACTCTCTGGAAATCGCCGCAAACCAGAACGACCAGTGAAAAGCAAGGAAGGCGAGGTAATCACCAACATTGAAGAGCAACAAAACAGGTGGGTAGAACACTTCAAAGAACTCTTGAATCGACCAGCTCCACTGAACCCACCCAACATCGAAGCAGCACCCACGGACCTCCCAATCAATGTTGGCCCACCAACAATTGAAGAAATCAGCATGGCCATCAGACAAATCAAGAGTGGCAAAGCAGCAGGACCGGACAACATCCCAGCAGAGGCACTAAAAGCAGACGTAGCGGCAACTGCAAGGATACTCCACATTCTCTTCAATAAGATTTGGGATGAGGAACAAGTACCAAAAGACTGGAAAGAAGGACTTCTGATCAAAATACCGAAGAAAGGCGATCTCAGCAACTGTGATAACTACAGGGGCATCACTCTTCTCTCAATACCGGGAAAAGTCTTCAACAGGGTATTGTTAAACAGGATGAAGGACTGCGTAGACGCCCAACTTCGTGACCAACAGGCAGGATTCCGTAAGGATAGATCGTGTACAGACCAAATCGCAACTCTACGGATCATTGTGGAACAATCAATTGAATGGAATTCATCACTCTACATCAACTTCATTGACTACGAAAAGGCATTTGATAGCGTGGACAGAACAACACTATGGAAACTTCTTCGACACTACGGCGTGCCTCAGAAGATAGTCAATATCATACAGAATTCATATGATGGATTACACTGCAAAATCGTGCATGGAGGACAGTTGACAAAGTCGTTCGAAGTGAAGACCGGTGTCAGGCAAGGTTGCTTACTCTCACCCTTTCTCTTTCTCCTGGTGATCGACTGGATCATGAAGACGTCAACGTCTGAAGGGAAGCACGGGATACAATGGACATCTAAGATGCAGTTGGATGATCTAGACTTCGCAGACGATCTGGCCCTTCTATCCCAAACGCAACAACAGATGCAGGAGAAGACGACATTTCTGAACGTTGACAGTAATGCCATGTTTTCGTAGTCGTTCGAAAACAAAATCCAGATGCTTGAGATGTTTTTCTCTGTCCAGACGTGCGATTAGGCAGTCGCCAACATACGCATGTACGAAGTTGAGACCTCGAAAAACGTCGTCTATGAACCTTAGGAATGTTTGAGCAGCGTTCCTTAGACCGAAAGGCATTCGCAAAAATTCATAGAGTCCGAAGGGAGTTATGATAGCTGTTTTCGGTATGTCGTCAGTAGCCATATGCTTTAACCAAGTCGATCTTGAAAAGACAGTTGTACCTTTCAAGGTAGCTGTCAAATCGTGAATGTGAGGCAACGGGTAACGACCGGAATGGTTTTCGCGTTCAATCGCCGAAAGTCACCAGTTGGACGCCAATCGTTGCTGTCCTTTTTAGGGACCATGTGCATATGGGCTTTTTGACGGTTGTATGATTCCTAAGTCTATCATGTGATCGAACTCGTTTTTCGCCAACCTTAGCTTTTCAGGAGCTAGTCGGCGTGCTTGAGAGAATACAGGTGGTCCTGTGGTCATGATGTGATGTGCAACGTTGCTGGTTACACGCGGTAGTTTCGGTTGAGTTTGTTGTATCTCAGGGTACTTATCGAGTAGTGGTTGATAGAGTGGGTCTATCATATGCTTAATTGTGATTGGGGATAATTTGCAACCAGAAAAGGAAGTTACGCAAACGGACAAATTAGTGTTTCCGTCTACTAGCCTCCATTTGCGCGTGTCGATGATCAGATTATGGTGTTGTAGAAGATCCATACCAATGATTGGCATAGAAACATCTGCAACAACGAAGATCCAGTGAATGGGTTTGCGTAAACCCACGTTAAGGTAAACGTACCTTTTGCCATACGTAGCGATCGGTTTTCCGTTTGCCGCCTGTAAGTTTAGAGCCGATTCGTGAAGCCGGTCGTTAGGATTTGCTGGGAGAACGCTTACTTCTGCGCCAGTGTCGATGAGGTAGCGAACTCTCGTTGTCACATCTGTGACGTACAACAGACGGCTATGTTCGCCGGCTACGGTTGCCGTTAACGCGTGCCGGCTTGGAAGTTTCTCGAGTTGTTTTTCGAGCCAGTCGGTTTCGTGTTGGGAAAATTGCAGGGTTTTCTGCAATTTCTAGAAGACTTTCCATACTGGTTATGATACCAGCACCAGTCGAGGTTATCTGTCTCTCGTGGTCTAGAGACAGATCGCTTACGAGAACTGATTCTACGTGGTGTGCGCGATCTCTTACGGTCGGTACGAAGACTAAGATAACGCGTGAGTGTGCGACATAAGTCGGTTATATCATTCTGAGTCGTTTGAGGTTTTTCTTTGACTGGAAATACCTCGGTAGTAGAAGATTTCGTAATTTCTAAAATACGATCGGCAGATGCAGCCAGTTCGTCTAAGGCGTTGTTCTGAAACGAGACCAGAACAGCTTGCACCTGTTGGGGAAGTTTAGACAAGAAAAAATGTGTGAATAGACCTTCTTCGAAAGTTCTTGGGCCTATAACCTCTCTCATCGTTTGCAACATGTCCGTCGCAGAACCGTGCTGCAGGTCTATGTTATTAAAGAGTTGACCTAACTTTTCTCGATCGGTTAGGTCTCCTCGTTTAAGAATCGAACATTTTAAGGTTTCGTAAGGTTCAGAAACATCACTAGTGAACATACTAGGTGTTACGTACCTGTTGAATTCCCGCGGTAGTGCCTTGAATACTGCGAGGAATTGTGCACGTGTGTCGATCACGCCGAGCCCGGAGAAGTCGGGAGATCGGAAGAGTGTATTTGGCGATTACCAATGTATCGGAATTCTCGGATCTAATCTGGCTAGCGATTTCGGTAGATGTCGAGCACAGCGTTACCACACATGATCTGGTGAGGATGTATGACCGAGCGCCTTCAGCTAGATGAGTCCACTAAAACATATGGTCAGCATCCAATGTCGAAAACTTACAGAGCTATTTGTTTTGGGGATTTATTTACAGCTACAGGTTCAAGGAAACGTAATTAAAGTTATTTTTGGAGTTTCAAGGCTCCCATTTTACTAGAAGATATTCAACGAGGAGACCTAACCATAGTCAATAATTAATTGAAGAGTACTTCAAATCGGAAACGTCCTATTATTTATTATCTTCAAGGTAATTTAAGGGGATGTCTTCAAATCTAAAACCAGTTACTTGCCACCTGACTACAGAATTCCTCATCGAATCCTTCATCAGTGAAAATAGTGAACTGAAAATGGAGGTTCAGCTTCTGTCGGAGCATTTGGGAAATTTTACGAACTGAGATAACCTTTTCAGATTAGATGGTGGTTGGAGATAGTCGATAGGAAACCCTGGACCCGGGTTTCGTGCTACTTGGCACCCGTCAGCAAGGTGTATCTGTAATCTTGAGGGAACTGGTGCTCCCTGGCGGATTCGATCTCGTGTCACCCAGCTTCACGGTCAGAGACGTTACCACTAGAGAGGAAAAAAATACAGCAGAACGGATTGTGAACATACTGAAGATGCCACAGGTGTTTGGAGTTTGACAACGCTTTAACCAGTAACACTTACTACGAATCGTACCTAACAAGTGAAATCAATAGACAGAAGTGAGGAGGTTTGAAGATATATTTGATAAACTATCAATATTTCGAGGATCGTCTGATCTAATCTGGCTAGCGATTGCGGGAGTTGTTGAGCACGGCGTTCCCACTCGTGATTTGGTGCGGATGCATGACCGAGAGCCTTCAGCTAGGTGAGTCCATTAAAACTAATAAGGTCAGCATCCAACGTCGAAAACTTACAGAGCTGTTTATTTTGGGGATTTATTTACTGATACAATACCTTCTACTCCCTAAGATTAGTCAAATGCCGGAATTCGCTACGGGCTGAGCTAGTGGAAGCAACTTCCTAGGAGTCATTTAGAAGGAAACTTGACATATTCTTAAGGACTAAGGACAATATCTCGCTATGATCTACTATTTATTCTTCTCTCTTTTATCGTTGATTATACCTAGCTTCCTACATGGAGGCATCGATGATCCACTGCTACTAGATACAGAAGTTCGTTAGATGGAAGCTTCTATTCCGTCCACAACTATATGAACTATTTAAAACTTCACGATAACACGTTCAACCTTGTGTTGGCTATGTTGTATGTTAGACATTGTGTATTTACTAATCAGTTGACCTTGGATATGATATGATTAAGATTACTCACGTTATATTTGATGTCGATGGTCTTATTTTGGATACAGAATCCATATACACTGAGTTCACATCAAATTTTCTTAGTGGATATAATTTACAGTTCGACTACAACATAAAAAAACTAATGATGGGAAGAAAACCTCATGAAGCCGGTGAAATACTTGTAAAGCACTATAATTTGCCACTAAGTGCTGATGAATTTATCCAAAGGCAAACAGAATACATTACTCCAGAAAGATGGGAGAGTGTTCAGTGTTTACCAGGTGCAGAAAAACTTATTTTGCATCTTGCTTCTCATAATATTCCTATGGCCCTAGCTACTGGTTGTTGCAGTTATGAACTTGATCAGAAAATGAGAAATCATCAAGTTATAATGACCAAAGTCTCTCATTCTGTTTGCTCTGGTGACGATCCTACTGTAAGTATGTGACCAAGCAGAAATGTGATGTCCCCGTTTAACTTTCCAGAATGTAATATACCAGGGTAGTAACGAATCAGTCTTCAGTAATAAGGATAGTAGGTTGATGAACCTGTGTTAATCCTGACACATTGCTTTCCAGTGAAGGTCCAGCTTTTCCTTGAAAGTATTCACTGATGGGGCAGATACCACTTGTTCGGGTAAGGCGTTCCAATGATTGACTACTCGATGAGAAAAACGGGATCCCACTTTAAGTTTATTAGATCGTGGTTTATGAATTTTCTTGCTATGACCTCGGAGATTATTAGTGCTGGAGGGAGCAAAAAGATAAGACATATTAACACCCAAATCATAATTAAAGATACGAAATGCCAGTATGAGGTCACCTCGTGTCCTACAATACGACAAGGGGAAAAGATTTAGGCGTTTTAAGCGCTCATCGTAAGGGAGTCTAGAAAGACCCTTCACTAATTTCGTTCCCACACGCTGGACACGCTCAAGGGAGTTAGTATCCTTTACCAGACACGGGCTAGCTGCTTGGATACAGTACTCTAAATGTGGTCTAACATATATGGGATAAAAAAATTCGAAACGTTTCCTCGTCAAAAGATTTAAACGCTCGACGAAGTGACCATAACGCACAAAAACCTTTGACAGCGGCTGCTTTGCAATGCGCAGTTGTTTTTAAATCATGACTTAATATTACTCCTAAGTCTATATCAACGGTGAACCAAGTTTCTGTAATAACGATTATATCGGGACATAATTCTCCCACCATCAGACTTATCTCGGACGTTTTATTTCTAAGACTACGAGCGTTCGTGTAGCACACACTTAAGGTGCTTTGGAAATCAATCGTTCTACCCATACAGGCCTCGGAAGCATTGGCTTCCAAGACCTGACTACCCGAAAATCCTTAATGGTAAGGTTATTTTCGCCATTTAATTTGCGAGTCCTCAACTTGATTCGACCCTCAAGCGGCCAATCTGGTCGAATACGGATATTTGAGGCACGAGTTTTTAGTGCGCTTTTCAATAATATGTCTCTTTCTTCAAAACTCCCGAGAACCAGCTTCAGGATCCTTCTTGGTTGGGTCTCGCCTCCAACCCATTTACCAAGTCGTATTACTTTTTTAATATGTACCCCTGAAACCTCTTCTGGTAGTACATTCCTTACCACAGACTCCACTAACTGCAGGTCATGTGCATGTCTTTTAGCAGGGTCGTTGTCTTTCGACTCCTCTAGATTCCAAATAATTAAACTAGGAAGGGGTTTAGCTTCTTTTGAAACTGTGTTCACAGCTTTCGACCGTGACGTTAGATCCTGTATTTTAACTACTGGTATCTTACGATTAGTTTTTATTTTAACAGAGTCCTGGGAGTCAAGCGAATGACTCACAACAATGTCAGACGAAGCTTCACTATGGGACTTTGGCGGATTGGTCTGAGAGTCCACCAAGGACTTACCAAGTAAACAGTCATTAGTTTTAGCTATCTTTCCTACTCTTCTGCGTTTTCGCGTCATCCATTTTCCATCAGTCGAAACGTCTACATTAGAACAACTCGGGACAGTAGTTGTTTTATCTGAGTCACCGGTTGCTGCTGTAGCAATATGGCCACCAACGTCTAATGACGTGTCACTCACTGATCGTTTCAGGGGAGAATGTTTAACTGCGGGTTGCACAGGTAGATGTCTGGCTTGCGCCGTGATAGCACTTACGACACTAACGCAATCTTCGCCATCAGTACCAATGTTATCAGTACAGTCCTCATCAACCTTCTTATTAGCCAACACCAGGAGACTAATTGCTTCCTGGATAAGCAAAGTTTTGCTCGAGCAACAAAAACTACAAAGCCAATGAGAGTTGGGCTTTGAACACCTTTTATATGCAGTGGGGCTTAGTCGGGTGCACATCTTATGGAACCACTTATTATACTCATCACATTGCATCCCTTCATCCACGGGAAATAAGCAGTATGGTTGTCCACATTTATGAGTAGACCTAGCCATCTTGAAAATCAACTAGAACTGTGACAAAAACAGGATATGTAAAAGGATTTTCAAACCTTAACTAAAAAAACCAAGTAAAAGTCGACCAAGTATGGTTCGATGCAATAAATACACAGAAGCAAAATCGAAAAACTCAATACAATATCACTTTAACTGGGGTAGATGCAATTAAAGTGTAAACAGTAGTTTTGATGCGTAATTTACGATCAAAACAGTTAATTAACTCAACGAGAAATAATACCACTGTCCTTTTAAATAGAGCGCGTCATAGTGTATAGTTAAACTTTTCCATTCCTGTTTTAGGTTCTTATCTTTTTCCTGTCACATTCCTGTACCTTTTTACTTATGTTGTACGTAACAACGGCAGGAAGCTTCTAAGCTTGTATCCGTTTTTAGTATACCAAGCTAAATATTTAGCTTGGTATATTTCTTGAATACGTATGAATTTCTTTGAAATTCGCACTGAGATCAGAAAATCAAGAATTAGTGTTATTCCTTTCGTAGTATCCTTTAGTATGTGTTTAGTCTTTTAGTTGAGTAGGATGAGAAAGCAGGTACCACCTCCTTTAACGGCGAATCCTGAGAGTCAGTTTAATAAGACGATGGAAAGGTCTACACATCACGATTATATTCCATTCGTAACTTTGAATTCTCCTGTTGTGTCTTGAGTTGTGATTACCTGGCTGGAAAAGTAATTAGGAGTGTATGTATTTCTTAGTCATTTAATAGTTCGTCTCTTAATTTGATAACACTATGCCTATCTAAAGCTTAGATAAATTATTTCGTCTAACTTTGTGAAATTCATCAGTGGCCTACTGCTCTGTAACAATAACCAAATGGCGATGGTCTCCAAGCCGTCATTGTAAATAAGAACTGATGACAGGTGCTTTCCGATTCTTTTATTGCCACCATCTATTTATCTTACATGTATAGAGACACTGTTACAGTAATTTGTTAACCGTGTCTTAGACTAGCTTATCAAGATTCACCTGGATTTCTTCCGCATCATCATTTGCATTTCTCCCAATATTTTGACATCGGGGTGAAGTAGCATTGAAAACTAAGTGAAAATTGGAAGGTCATTAACATAGGATCAATAACAGCCTACTGTTGTTATTTATGGTACTTCACCAAGTACGGGTTTCCAAAAGTTACTTCAAAATTGATTCGTACTCTCAACAGCAATAACTCGTCGATCTACCGATAAGTGGTCTGCAATAGGTTCTGAGTTTATGAACTTACTGTTCGTGTGCTCGCAAATATCCTGCTCTGAAAGCCATAATGTCAATTCCAAAATAGTTACTAGTTATGACGTCGGATTTTCAGTATATTGCAAGAAAAACAAGTTGATCTTAATAAGTCCGATGTCAAACAGTAGTTTAGAAACCCTTGTAATATCATTTTTATCCTCTGAATATTTTTTACAGTATCTCACATGTACGTGTGCATAGTTATTAAGTTGTAATTAAAAAAAATTTCAACTGTATTCATCATATTCAGCAAAGTCCTTCAGATAAGGTTCACAAACCTAACGTTTTCTGTAGTTTTAGAACATCTTATCATTATAATTTCCAAACTACTCACATTTTTAATTTATATCAATTTTAGGTTAAGCATGGTAAACCTATGCCGGATATATTTCTAACTACCGCTAACAGATTTAAAATTCCTCCAGATTCCTCTGATAACGTTTTAGTGTTCGAAGACTCTCCAAATGGTGTTGAAGCCGCTCTATCAGCTGGGATGCACGTTGTATGGATTCCTGATCCACGAGAACCACCTGGAAATTTTCCGAAATCAACTTCATCCACTGACATATCACGTGTCACTAGATTAAATTGTCTGTCTGATTTTAAACCTGAACAGTTTGGTCTTCCGAGGTTCGAAAACGACTCTTGATTATGTATGTTTTTTCGCGTGCTTATCTTTATTTTAAAGTATTTCGAAAAATAGCTTCCCGTTTTATGGACAATTCCGTTTAATTTTGAATGGGTAGTTCCAAATAGTTGTTTACAGAGTGTTTGAAAACTGTGTTTGTTAAAATCCTAATAGTTGAAATTACATATTGCCAACATGTGCCCCGGGAATCTTCCCCAACCTTCACTTGAAATTAATCAATTTGTCAATGATAAATAAGATTGAAAACTCTTCCATACTAAATACGTGTTTAGTCGTGTTCATATATTAGTTTGGTTTGGATTGAGCATGTGAGTCATTTGATGTAAAATGTTTTCAAGCAGTGCCATGCGAAGATGTATGTCATTATTATTAAATTTCAGTGAACAGATGAATTCTTTGGTTATAGTTTAAACTAAATTTGTCTTTCTGTTCACCATAAAACTGAAGTTACACCTGGACAAACTGAGTTTGTCAAACACACTAATAGGAGCGGCAAGTGACTATACAAACTCACCAACTTATAATCTTGCCAGGATCATAAAACTCAATGACCGGGAAGTGATACATGAAATCAAAAATTTCAAGTGAATTCAACATACTACTAGTCATATGAAAGGTGATGAAACAATCTCAATTCTCGTTTTTCACTCCTTATTTACAAATATACTTATTCATTCTCTTGAAGGGGTTTGGATTAAATTGCCAGATAAAACTTTATTTGTTTAGTCTCAGTCTCAGGTTTGTACAAATATCGTTTCAATTCCTATTGACTTGTGTTTGGCTGCTGATCTGTGCATTGGTAATATACTCAGTTTATAGATATCGATGTCAAGTTTCCAATAAATTGAGCATTGGGTAGAAAGTTAATAGTGTATGTCTGTATGTATGGTTCAAGTTTACTAGTACTATGTATTCTAAGGTGCGGAGACCGCTAATTCAGAAATTTCGGTTTATATTCCAACTCTTAGATTTATTGTTGATTAGAATTAAACCGAAAATGTTTTTAGGTGCAAATCTTATGTTTGTTTTCTGAGAATTTGTGAAGATTCGTAATCCTAATTTTCTGTGCTTATTTTATCCTTCACTTGATATGTCTCACTCATCCTGTATTTTGGTCGTTTGATTTGTCTCATAACTTATTCTTCTACTTTGGCTAATTTTCTCACTTTACTATTCAAAAGTACCACGACTCCGTTGAATAATTTGGCCCAAGTTAAATTACTTAGATCACTTTCAGTTATGTTCGATGTCTGGGAATTCTGGCCAACATATGTACAACCCGAAGTGATGTCGACTGAAATTTTCACTTATTCCCTTGTCCAAGTTTTTAGACCGGCTTAGTCCCTAACAGACGAAATAATCAGATGCTTTCTTGTTCACTTCGACCTGACCCACGAAATATAGCGTTGCTAACCCAATTCAGTAGTTCGCTTCATTATCTTGTTTTCAAATCACCCTCCTATACATAGTAATTAATGGAACCAAAGTTGGACAGGTTGCTCTTTCATGTTACTGAATAGTTCTTTGTTTTTTGACAACTAATCATCGTTCTCTTTCCCTTCGATGATGTATTGTATCTTCTATGAAAACCATTACTTTGACCTGCAAGGCATTTTACATATCAGTCAGCTACAACGTAGGACCAGGCACATATAGGCATCGGTCCAAGTTGCCATACCTCATTAGCACAACAAGATGAACACCGAATTCATTGAAGCAGTTACTTCATTGGTGGTAATATATAGAAGAAAGATTGCATAAAGGATATAGTACAAGACCTACCGGGTGATCCCAGCAGATGCGAGCAATATTTCTAAGTTATCTGGGATCAAATACTATTAACTTACAAGTGTCTTCTATCTTTAATGGTCACATTTAGCAGCCGTGAAGCAAAACAGAACGAACTGCTGCTCAGTATACTTGTCACTTAACTGACGGACAGATACATCGCCTTCGCCCTAGGTGATGTAAGTTAGCAAAATCCAAACGAGCTTTTCGAATCTGTGCTGAGATTTCGTCAGACAATAACCCATTAAGGCTGATCAAACTTCCAAGATAAGTGAAGTTGTCGACGCGTTCGACTGGTAGATCGATTTCCGAACATTCAGACAACGAGAACGTTAATTCCAGTAGTAGGGCTTGCCCATCGCTTATCCGGGGACCCTGTGGCATCTTCGTCTGGTCTTGCTGGCGTTGGTGTCGCACTAAGCGCTAGAGCTGAGGCAGCACTAGTCGATTGGATCCCCATTAACAGTCGGTTATGTGCTGTTAGATTAGAAAGTTCCATCAAAGTGAGAAGAAATCGGCGTGAGAAACGATGTCTTTTCGTCATCTCCGCCTATGCCCCGACAGATTGCAGCCCGGATGCAATCAAGGATGAGTTTTACCACCAGTTATCTGTTCTTCTCCAGAAAGTGCGTTCGACAGATATTGTAGTACTAGCCGGAGACTTGAATGCTCAGGTCGGGCGTCTAGGCACAGAAGAGAGTCGTTTAGGTGGCCGATGGGGACTCGTTGGTCGCAGGTCAGATAACGGGGACCGTCTACTGCAACTTTGCACAGACCACAACCTGTTTCTGGCTAGCACTAACTTTCGGCACAGTCATCGCCGATGTGCCACCTGGCGTCCTCCCTCTGCATCTCAAGCCTGGACTCAGATTGATCACATCGCGATCAGCTACCGCTGGCGTGGTTGTGTAAAAGACTGCCGCTCCTTTTGGAGTACCTATCTGGACTCTGACCATGCCTTGGTCTGCGCCAATCTTGCCTTACTTTTCAGTGGACAACGAAGTGACCGCCATCAACGGATTGATGTTAGCAAGCTGGTTGCAACTTCTGTTGCAAGTAAGTATCGAACCGAGCTAGCCTCTAGGCTAGCTACCACTCCACCGAAAAGTATAGATGAGCATTGGTTGCAATTGCATGACGCCATGAAAATGGCGGGAACAGTCAGTTG